TAGATTCGTTTTACAAACTTTTCATCTTGATTTTAGTTTGGTGTACTGTTCTAATTTAGTTCTATTGTTTGCTTCGTGTATGATTGTATGGATGCTTGTGTGGTGCTTTATGATCTTGTCCAGTCGGTGAGATATACGTGGTGATCAAGAAGAAGAAGAAGAAGAAGAATAATGTTGAAGATTAAAACTTATCGAAGGATCGGTGTTTAAGGCAAGTATAGCATGGGATCTTACTTGTTGTCCTATACACCTTTAATCACTTAATTCATATTGCATATGTCTACCTTGACTGTCACTAAGGATTTCCTAGTACTTTGTTACCCTGTACCTTGATACATTTGGGTTATTGCATTGGGTAGTATGATGCTATTGCTTAACTACAACCATGATCTTGTAACTTGACTAATGTAATATGCAATAAACATTAAAAGATCCTTTTTAGCAACATGGAACAAGGGGGCTAGAGCATTGCGTTGTTTTTATGGTGCTCTAGATTCCTCTTCCTAAGGACTTATCTGTAAGTGATCATCCGGGACTTATAGTACAACTGTGAGGGCTATATGGCTCTGGCTTTAGCTCGGTATGAGGACATTTTCTAGCTTGTTAGTTGTTACCTTTATTGACGTAAGAATGGCTTGACGAATCGGGTATAGTGCGGCCTCTATCCCCATGTGTATAGGCTGCGCGTCAATGTGCCATCGGAAATGGGGGCTCTATATCTATTTGCCGAGTGAATCTAATGGCCCTAACTCGTTAGACGAACCTTTGAAAGGCTTCGTAGTGAACCCTGTCGACCTTCCTTGGAAGTGGGTCAAGAGATTAGCTACCTCGGGCGAAAGGGTAAATCACGACTCACAGTGAAAGTATACAACATCTGCAGAGTGTAAACCTGGTATATCAGCCGTGCTCACAGTCACGAGCGCCCTTAAAACCTTTACGAAATAGATGATCACTAATGGTTAATTGTTTATGCTATTCATTATTCATGTTTACCTGATCATGTGTTTTTGGGCTTGTGGATAAACTTGTTGCTACTCAATTACTAAAAGATGACTCATTAAAAGTTAATCGCAGTTAAACCAGTGTCAGCCTTTTGAGCCTCATGAACCCCGTGTTATATTTGTTGAGTACGACTTGTACTTACGCTTGCTTTACTTTTCAATTATTTGGACAAAAATCCCGGATGGGTACCAGATTGCTAGAGTTTGGAGGAATTAGGCTTATGATCAACCAGTCAGTTGTCCCTGTAAATTTAGAGTCTTCACCCGAAGATTGACGTTGTCTTTCTGCTGTTTGCTGTCTAAGGTTATATCATTTATACTAAGTATGTTATATATTAAGGATTATCTATTGACATTACCTTTATTTGTAGTTATATGTGAGATTTGACTTTCTAAACTCACTTATAATGTGTATTTGGTTTTGTTCTTAAAACCGAATGCTACAACCAACGTCAGTGCTTTATTTCGCAAGGGTCCCACCAGCAAGTAGAGTTGGCTTCGGAGCCTGTTTTTAGACACTGCAGCACTCTGGATGCGATGCCCGTTACTCGATGTAGACCCATTTTTTTCGGGCACCACTACCACACTGTGGGCGGCCTAATCGTGACATTTTTTCTCATAGACAACGCTGATACTGGAAGGACTACGCAACAAAAAAAAACACAATCTACTAATCAGGCCTCTCGGAGCCATGCAAAATAGAACCATTGGTAAAAACCAAATATTTTTCCTTTTGCGGTGTCACTTATCAACATATAACTGATGGTATCTCAATCAATAGTGATAATTGAATCAAAGAATGAGAAAATCTATGGCACTGAATCAAAGTAAATGTTGAAAACATGTTTATAAATGACAACCTTTTAAGAGCATTGAAGTGCTTGATCTTTTATAGCTCTTCCCTGCATAGAGATTGGAGAATAAATAGAAGATTTGTTTTCTCTCAAAAAGGTGAGCAACTAAATGTAGCTTAGTGGCATTTAACCAAAGTGGGAAAAAAATTCTGCCAACAATTAATTAAGGCCTTGTTTAGTTTCTCCTCCTAAAGTTTACTCCCTATCACATCGGATGTTTGGACACATGCATGGAGTACTAAATATAGACTAAAAATAACTAATTGCACAGATTGCGACTAATTTATGAGACGAATTTTTTAAGCCTAATTAATCCATGATTTGATAATATGGTGCTGCAGTAAACATGTGCTAATGACGGGTTAATTAGGCTTAATAAATTCGTCTCGCGGATTACTGAGGACTTCTATAATTTGTTTTATTATTACTATCCGAACACTCCCATGTGACATTCCTAAACCTTACTCTCTGGATTTAAACACCACCTAAATATGACAATATATCATCAAAAGAGTTTCCCTTTTTGTCATTATTGAAGATCCTTCCAGATACGAAGCAATGAAAAGATGCCGATGTAAAATGCTGAAGCCACAGGCAATAAAAACATCATCAATTCTGGAATTATAACCAATATCAATCTGACAATGCATCGTCGAAAGGATTTCCCTATTTTTCCTTTTGTTGAAGATCCTTTTTGTTACCAACCAATGCAAAGGTGCACATGTAAAACCTAAACCTGGAACCTATTATTCAAGCTATAAAAACTTATTATGACTTTATTTCTGCATTCCATCTTCTTCTAGATGTCTGCAAAAATCTTGAATCATTCCAGTGCATTGACCAAAAATATGCAGGCAGCCTCATATAACCACCACATGTGCAATTTGAAATGACTAAAAATTATAATAAAGCATCATAGCAAAGACAAAGCTAACATTAAAATACCATATATTCGTAGGCAGAACTTTGTTTTAGTAAATAATTTGCTACATTTTCCTTGTATTTTTTAAACCATAACTTTTAGTGCAGAAATAAACTAAAAAACTACCAAAGAAACCAATTTGCAATTAGTTATTACAGATTAGCATAACTAAAAGTCAGAAGAATGTTTACCACAATCTTGCAAGCTAAAATAAAGAAGTCAACATTTCAGGGAAAAAGATGAGTCTGCATAAGCTAATTCATGCCTTTAGAAATAAGAATATAATATATAAACTCGTTAAGTAACTATAGCAGTCCATTTAGACCCTGTTTGGATCGTAGGAAATGTGAAGGAAAATCGTAGGAAGGAGAAAACGGAGGAAAGGAAGCTGGACTCAGTGTTTAGAAAGGAGGAAATTCGCTTTCCTTTCCTTTAGATTCGTGTAGCTGGATGCCGATTTCATAGAAAAATAAAACATCCATCGTGACCCCTTATTTTCTTTTCCTCTGCGATTACCAAGCAAATGAGCGCTTGTTGTCTCTACAACCTGACGACGGACTGCATTAGCAGAGAAATCGGGGAAGAGGAAAAGGATAATAACGCTAAAGTAATATAATAGATAGAAAAGACCAAAGTACTCAAGTGAACCACAGCAACCAGAGTAGGAGGAAGGATAAGATCTGACACGTGGACCATTTATGATGCTTCAACTTATTTTTAGCTTTTGTTTATAGAACGAAAGGAATTTTGCTTCCTGTTATGCTTAGCCTAAGCCATTGAGTTTCTAGCAAAACTGTTAAATTCTTATGCGAGCCATGTTCCTTTGTTCTAAACGTCAATTTCTATAAATTCTTGTGTTTTCCAATCCTGTGTTTTCAACCTCTATTCACTTTCTATTCCTATATTTTTTTTTATTCCTCTGTTTTATATTCCTCCGTTCCAAATAGGTCCTTAACATATGTTTTATGATTTGTTTTGCTCAAGAACTGATCAACAACATGTACATTGGGCAATTGTAGCAGCTGAAACATCACCTAGAGACAAGCTATTAGTATTCAATTTTGTTATTAAAATCAAATGTATTAACATCGAATGTGAAAAAACCTTTTTCTTTCATTTGATCGTATAAATTCTTGATCAGTGGAGTGCATTTGGAAATATCCACAGGCCACAGCACAGCACACTAGCACAGGACGCCACAAGGGTGCCCCAGCCTGCAGTGACCCGATATGTAAGCCGCTGAAAGCTGGTGTAGAGCATCTTGGCAAGCAGGATTAGCTGAGCTCAGCTCAGCTGGGGCTGGTGATTTGTGAATGATTGCTTGCCATGTGTGGGACAACCAGATCCTGCGCTGCCCAGCCCAACAATGCCCAATTCCATTACTGCCCACCAGCATCGTCCTCTCACCTCCCTCTCTGTAGGCTGCAGCCAGCGTACATAATACAGTAGACTAGTCCTCTTCTAGTCGCCTCTACTCCGTTGCTTGCATCTCCCCGTCAAGCACGCCGCCGCACCGTCGCGCCCTCCGCCTCCTCCCGAAAGCCGTGGCGCTGCCTTCCTTGCCGTCCACACAAGGCAGCCGTCCTAGGACTCGTTGGTCCTCCCCTGCTGCCCTTCTACGGTGGAGGTGAGGAGCGGAGCGGAGCGGAGATCCAGCCGTTTTCCGGCTGATTTCTTCTTCTTGGTAAGCCTGGGTTGATTCCGCTGTGTCGTGATTTGTCCGGACGGTGCAAATCCAAATCTTTCCTCGCCACCGAATTCAAATTCAAATCTTTGCTGCGAGATTCCATCCCGGTCGTCTCAAGTCTATACGCGTCTCTTGTTGGACCAAGTCGCTTAGTTAGTCAAGGTTTCGAGATCGGTTTCTTAATCTTTGATAGAAATAACAGCAAAAAAAAATTCCCTTTTGAGCATCGTATCCTGCTTAATAATTGTTCTGTTCGGCAAAATAACCTGCTTGGTAAGAAGACCTAATTTGTTCTTTTTCTCTCTTTTTTGCTCAATAACTGCAGCGGGGCAAGTTCCGTCGATAGTCGATACTGCTTGTGCTGTTGAGCTAATATTAAGTTCCTGCTGCCAGCAAAAGGAGAGCTTCCGCAGCTCCTATGGCAAAGCCTCTCAATGGCATTGGCCGTAGGTATGTTCACTACCACATCCACAAACTTCATTTTTTAATACAAGTAGTTCTTGTTTAGTCTGTAGATTTAACTGCTAGTGTACCTAATGTCGGACAATTTTCTGTCCGCGCTGCCGCTCATCATAATTTTACTGCCAATGTTTGTCAGCAGCAGCATGCCAAGATCGAATGAGGGTATGCGGCTCATATTTTCGGCAGTTGTAGGTGTCATGCTGGGTTACCTGTTTGGGATCTCCTTCCCTACAGTCAACATAACCAAGGTAGATTGGCACACTTGCCTCTCTTGTTTTTCTCTCTCATATACTTGCTTTAGAGAAGGGGGGAAAACACTAATCGAATGTGGACTGCAGCTTCACTTCCCTTCGAGTATCATCTCCTATATTGAAGATAGGAACTCTGGCATCACAACCCAGACATTGTTGAACCATGCTTGGGCATCTGCAAACAATCGTAAAAAGAATATTTCTGAATCTAACACTGATGAAATTCCCAAGGTACTTCAACACACTACTACCTTCTTGTGTTGCTATATTAGCTGTATACCTATATGTCTGTATTGGCCTAAATTAGGTCTCGTATTTTATTATTTTTCCTTGTCCATACTTGATTGTTCTTTTGTGTACATATGTTACTGCTGTGTTATCACAATGTACTCCCTCTGTCCCTTTATATTTGTCGCTATGGGAAACGTGTAGGTCAAACTTTCTCAACTTTGACTAGATTTTAACAAAATATTACCAACATTTATATCCCCAAATAAATTTATTATGAAAATAGATTCAACGATCTATCTAATGATACTAATTATGTACCGTAAATATTAATATTTTATTGTATATTTTATGTCAAAGCTAAGTACGCTTGACTTCTCGGGAAGTGAGAACAACAGATAATAAGGGACGGAGGGAGTAAGTGTTAAGCTTAACAAGTATTTTCAGGCTGTAAATCTAGGGTCTTTTTTTGATGCTGGAAGGTAGATCAACTATTACCTAATTACCTTCAAGGGAACTGTGGTAGTTGGTGGCTCAATTTTGGATTGTAAACAATACTAACCATCGATATTTGACCTTCATCCCTGCATAAAACTTATTTATCTTAACAATAGATAGTTTATGCTCTTACTTTCCGTTTTTCTCAAAATGATCACACAATTATGTGTGCAGATTTATGTTCCTACAAACCCAAAAGGTGCTGAGAGACTTCCACCAGGCATTGTAGTGTCTGAAACAGATCTTTATCCCCGAAGACTATGGGGTGATCCTAGTGAGGTTCGTGGTTGTTAGCCATTTTTTCAAAACTGCATTGAATTGCTTTTTTTTAACCTCTTTCATATACAATCTATGTTCTTAAACATATGCAATTCATCAGGACCTTACTAGCGAGCCGAGGTATCTTGTTACTTTTACTGTTGGTATTGGGCAAAAGGCAAATATTGATGCAGCAGTCAAAAAGGTAACTGACTGACTGGCACCTTACCTGCTTAACCTCGGTGCACCAAACTTCTGAACTCTGGGACTGATGTACACTAGATCCGCATCGTGATTAAACTTGTAGTCATTTTATTTGAAATGAGCATGTGGTCCTTTCTTCCAATTTCATGTAAGTTTCTTTTATAGTTTTCAGACAAATTCACCATTATGTTGTTCCATTATGATGGTCGGACTACTGAGTGGGATGAATTTGAGTGGTCTAAAAGAGCAATCCATGTGAGTGTCAGGAAGCAGACAAAATGGTATGTTATTGCTATAATTCTACAGTTTTCATTGCCCCTGTCAATAGAATGTTTTGACTTCAATTTTAATGATGCACTTCTTGTGTTTTTATATAAGGTGGTATGCAAAACGATTTTTGCATCCCGACGTTGTTGCCAGATATGATTACATTTTCATCTGGGATGAGGATCTAGGTGTAGAGCATTTCAATGCAGAGAAGTAAGCACTACATATTTGCATTCTTGTTTTCTTTCTGTTCAGCTGGTGTTCGTTTTGATTAAGACGTTCTTGCTATTTTTGCAGGTACATTGAGCTTGTTAGAAAGCATGGGTTGGAAATCTCTCAGCCTGGTTTGCAGCCTGATAAAGGACTAACATGGCAAATGACTAAACGACGTGGTGACCAGGAAGTTCACAAGTGAGATGGGAATCTATGTTGTTGTTTTTTTCAATACTTAATGATGTAATTTCTTAGTAATATGTTTCCTTATTACACAGAGTAACTGAGGAGAGACCAGGCTGGTGCACTGATCCACATCTACCACCATGTGCAGCGTAGGGCCAAATTTTTGTTGTGTATTTAATTTTCATTGTCTAATTATCATTCTAAAAGTTCAATTTTGATGTGCAGATTTGTTGAAATTATGGCAACAGTGTTCTCCAGAAATGCATGGCGCTGTGTATGGCATATGATTCAGGTGAGGTAACATTGCATGCTAAGTCATTAGTTTGTCTAAAGTGGAGTATGCTTACGCATTGTTTTATGCAGAATGACTTGGTCCATGGATGGGGTCTTGACTTTGCTCTGAGGAAATGTGTGGAGGTATTCCGTGCCATTATCATGCATAATACTTCACCTCCCCATTTCTTTGCTAATCCAAGGATTAGCCACACAGTTCAAGCCTTTCCTCACAGGATAGCACATAGCAGCATCAACAGTTATATGATTACCAACGTAATTAATGCTTTTTAGAGTTTTAGGGCATAGCCCCAGTCTTTCAACTAATCACCAAGACGGTTCAAGCCGTTACAGCATAGAAGATGGCATACCATCCGGAAAAAAAACACTGTGATTAATGTGCTTTCGACTTTAGATGTTATACGTTATACTGAGCTGGGACTCTTTTACTTTATCTTTAATTTATAGCCGGCTCATGAGAAGATTGGAGTTGTTGATGCTCAATGGATTGTTCATCAAGCAGTTCCTTCACTTGGGAACCAGGGCAAGTCAGATAATGGAAGAGCACCATGGGAAGGGGTAAGGCAGTACTTACTCGTATTATGTTATTTGGGGTTTTTTTCACAGTATATTATATTTCAAATGCATGAATTTTGACTGTTACGGCATCCACTATGTGTCCATATGGATTTTCTTTAACTGTTTAAACTTGGATGTCCACAACAGGTAAGAGCACGTTGCAGAAAAGAATGGGGGATATTTCAGACAAGGCTGGCTGATGCGGAGAAGGCTTATTACTTGGAGCGAGGGATCATACCCCCGAATTCAACAGTAGTTTAGATGAATACATGCTCCTCACATGCGACGGCAAGGTTTCTGTTGCGGGAACCTGCTGCGAACTGGCATGTTCATCGAAGCTACTGCAGCCCAGGGCAAATCCATATTTGTACATTAGAGGCCCCGCCATGATTAATCTTAGTGCCGTTCACTTGGTTCCTGTTCGCTGATGCTGAAATTTGGCTTATGCTGATGCTTATGCTGAAATGTTGGGAGAGGAAAATACTATTTCATGGCTGAAAAGTAGTTCTGAATAAGTTCAAGCGAATAGGGCTGCCATTTTTTGGTTAGTGTGACTAGCTGCGATGTAAGTAGGAGATATAGCAGGGACCGTGATGATACCCCATTTGTGTATTAATGACCTGATGCAATATGGATGTTGATAATCCTTTTCTCAGTTGCTGTGTGCAACTGGGTCAAATGCTGTGTTGAGCTAGTCCATTTGAAGAACTGTCAAGGTTTCGTTCAACTAAATCCGCAAAAAAAAAAAAGAAGGTTTCGTTCAACTAGAACTAAAAGCAAATTTTTTCTACACGTCAGAGTAATCCCTGCGTGACATCTGACTAAACTATCCCTGACTAGTCCGATTCAGAGTCAACATAAAAGCAGGTGCATGAAAGGTTCTGGAGACTGGAGCTCAACGAGGATGAAGATCTAACCTGGTGACTGCAAGGTTGTAGGTAGATATCTTGTGTGAAAACTGTAAGGCAGCTTCCAACAGCATTACCTGTCAGGGTGAGTCATCAAGCCTTAAATATCCGTGACCAGGAGTGTCGTGACTCCTTCCTCATCAAGCCTTCGTGACCAGGAGTGTCGTGACTCCTTCCAAGGAAGGATCTTAGGTGTACCAGCTGGAGACTTAGCCAATTAGCTTTGATAATATTATCTGCTTAAGGACCAGTTTGGAAATGAGAATTTTTTGCTGTTCTTTCATTTTTTCCTGCAAAAATAAACTAATTCCTACGAAATTTCTATAGGATTCATGTAAAATTCCTAGGTTTTAAACATGTACATGCCCTAAAGAATTAAGGGCTGTTTGGTCGCCGGCCCTCATTTGCCACAACGCAGTGCGGTGGCCGGCGTCGAAATTCGGCGCATTTCGTACCTGTACCTACGTAATCTTCTCTCCAACCAAAAGGAGACACAAATTTGTTGTGGCTGTCATATGTGGCGGCGTGGCATGTGGAATTAACCCTTTCCTTAAATAGATTTGTTTATAGGTTAATCTCGAAAAAGAAAAAAAATAAATAGGTTTGTTTATTGGGGCTTGAGTTGTGGTTAGTTTGCTACCTCTAAGAACAAAGTTGTGTCCAATAGTTATTGCCTTATCGATGACATTTTGACAACTAATTCTTGTCTAGTACAGGAGTACATCGGTACAAAATAAATATAGTACATAAATCAACTTATATATTCAAAAGTCCTTATCGACTAACACTTAGGATAGTCTGATCTTTCCATCCTTGTTCATGATCTTGACCTCTTCTTTTGAGTAAAATTCAGCGGTCCTCGAAGTTATCTAGAGCTGTCATCTAGGTCGCAGAAGTCCCAAAATGCATTTTTAGTCTTCTGAAATTGTAACTGGTCTCATTCAAATTCAACCGGACGTTTACCGGACCCGCTATCTTACATGGCATGTCCATTCAATGTGTACATAACTCTGACAGATGTGACCCACATGTCAGCGGTAAGACTCCACCTTAAAAGATCGTATCTTTTTCATACACATCGGATGAAGATGAATTTTATATAAAAAATTATAGCCTTCGATAAGATGTATAACTTTATAGTTTTGAGTTTTATCATTTGAGATTGCTAAGATGCTAAAAAATAATATAAAGTTTATGCAATATATTTATCGTTTACCAAGGCTTGTATCCTTAGAAAAATTATGTCTTTATTGTATAGTGTCGGATAAAGGTATTTTGTATAAGAAAATTATAAGCGATGTGATCTACAAATTACTAGTTTTGAGTTTTATCATTTGAGGTTATTAAAATGGTAAAAAAATTAATATAAGGTTTTAGTTGCGTACTAAGGCTTAATGCCTTAGAAAAAAAAATATTTTTCTTGTACTTCAGAATGGATAGAGGAGGGAGTTGGCTCCCATGCATCAGCAAGTGGAAAGAGACAAAAGTAGTGGGGGGATTTTTGTCTATAAAAAATACAATGCATTGCAACTAGTCCTAACGTCTCTTTGCTAGAGTAAAAAATAGCATGGCTTAGGTTTACTCTGAATTATAATGGTATGATTCCAAATAGGTGAATAGTAACGGTATATCTTAGAAGTAAAACATTTATCATGGCACCAGTCTAATTGACCCTAGAGCATATGGCATGGATTCAATTATTATGTTTATTATAGAAGCATATGATTACTTTACATCCCTCTATCAATAAAATTGTTTTGAGATTGAAACCGTTGTGTACTCTTTAGAGCAACTTCAGCAGGTCCCTTACTTGAGCCCTCATAGCTAAATATGAGCGCCAAATAAAAAAAATTTTGCTCCGCAGGGCTCCTACTAGAACCCTCAAATTTGAATGGACACCCAAATCCTCCTTCTGGCTCTCATTCCTGGGGCTTAGCTTCATGCCTCCATCCTATAAGTACAAGTACGATTGTTCTAGTTGCACACGGGTCTTCAGCGTTGCCGCTCCCTCCAGGAACCCTAGTGGCTTCCCCTTCCTCCCTATGTGGATCCCCTACGGTAGTAGCGCCCCCAGTGGCGTCTCTTCCCTCCACGGTGTGGATCTCCCCCATGGTGGGACTCTGTCTGCATCTTCCTCGCGCTGCATCCCCTTGCTGCCTGGTATGATCCTACCTAGCAGCACCGCGCGACTTTCTCTCGCTCCCCGCGCGAGGATCCTGCCCAACAGCACCTGGCAGCTTCCCCTCCCTCCCCGGCGAGGATCCCGCCCAGTAGCACCCGGTGGCTTCCCCTCCCTCCCCGAGGCGAGGATCCTGCCAAGTAGCTGCACCCGACGGCTTCCCTCCCTCTCCGGTGAGGATACCGCCCTCACGGTTCTCCTCCCTTCTCTAGATTATGCAGACATGACCACGTTTGTCAATGATGAAAGAGGATGATAAACGGGTCCCGCGTGTCGTTCCCTAATAAAATGGATGGTCCCAATTTTGAGAGCCACTGTAAGAGTACAATCTCGAAAACAAGTCCTCAAAAGTAGAGGAGCCCTCAAATCAAAAGTAGCGCCCCAAATTTGAGGGCTTAGCTAGCAGCTCTAAACAACCTAAGAGCCTAAGAGATCAATACAAATCATACAATATTCATATTCTTACGAATTTGTAAAGATACAGGGCACGAGTCTGTTGACTTCCTTCCCTCAACCAAGGCTGAAGAGCGAGCATTCGGCCTCCGATTAATGCATTAAATTGAATCCAGTGTGACCTGCCTCGATCAATCTCTCCATTTCGCCACGATTGAACCCACTCGATATACCAGCAGCTACTTTTCCCTACTCCAAGTCGGCAAGTCGGTTGTGCAATCTGAATCCAGCGAGCACGACCAATTCCGTGTTCCCATCACACATTAGAAAAAAATCACACCAAGAGTCAAGAGATATGTACTACTGCAGTTTCCAGAGACAAGAGAATCAGCTAGCAACTCCTGAGCAAGACTGCAACCTTGCGGGTAACTTGTGGAATAGTAGTTGTGTACACGCACCAACCGCGCGCTTTGAATTCCAAGTTTTTAGTACAATCTGTGTGTTCTCATTTCACTCCGTCCGATATGATTGAAGCCAAGCGCGTGCTACCTCTCTTCTTCTATTGCCTCCACCTTGCATCCGCCTTTGCCGCCGGCGACAGCAGCAGCGACGGCGAGAAGTTTGTCTACTCCAGCTTCGTAGGCGCGAGCCTCACCCTCGACGGCGCGGCCATGGTGACGCCGCGCGGCCTCCTCCAGCTGACCAGCGAGGCGGCGTTGAGCAAAGGCCACGCGTTCCACCCGACGCCGCTGCACCTCCGCGGGCCGCTGGGCGATGGCCAGAAGACGAAGGCGGCGGCGGCGGTCCGGTCGTTCTCGGCCTCGTTCGTGTTCGGCATCGTGCCGATCACCCCGGGCATGGGCGGCCATGGCCTCGCGCTTGTCGTCGCCCCGTCCAAGGACCTCTCCTCCGGGATGGCCAGCAACTACATCGGCCTCCTCAACAGCTCCAGCAACGGCAGCGTGCACAATCACATGGTCGCCGTGGAGCTCGACACCATCCGGAGCCCCGAGTTCAACGACATCGACGACAACCACGTCGGCGTCGACGTCAACAGCCTCGTCTCCGTCGACGCAGCCAGCGCCGGGTACTACGACGACCGCACCGGCGAGCTGTGGAACCTCACCCTGGTCAGCGGCCAGGTCATGCGGGCGTGGGTGGACTACGACGGCGACGCCACGCGAATCGACGTCACGCTGGCGCGGTCGGGACAGCCGAGGCCCAAGAAGCCGCTGGTCTCGGCCACGGTCGACCTCTCGACGGTGATCGCCGACGACGTGGCTTACGTCGGCTTCTCGTCATCGACGGGGAAGCTGAGCACGCTCCACTACGTGCTCGGCTGGAGCTTCGCCGTGGGTGGGCCGGCTCCGGCCATCGACATGGCCAGACTGCCACCGCTACCTGACAGAAGAAACTCAGGGTCTCGGTCTCGCTCGTCCAAGACGCTGGCGATAGCTCTTCCGGTAGCCGTCGGCGCACTCGCCATCGTCATCGCCATGGCTGCCTGCGTTCTCCTCGTCGTGCGGCGCCGGTACAGGTACATCGAGTTGCGCGAAGACTGGGAGATCGAGTTCGGGGCGCACCGGCTCCCGTACAAGGATTTATTTGACGCCACTGATGGGTTCAAGGACAAGAACTTGCTTGGCGTGGGAGGGTTTGGGAAGGTGTACAAGGGGATCCTCCCCACCTCCGGCACGGAGGTCGCGGTGAAGAGGATGTGGCACGAATCGGAGCAGGGGATGAAGGAGTTTGTTGCCGAGGTTGCTACCATCGGCCGCCTCCGGCACCGCAACCTCGTGCAGCTGCTTGGGTACTGCCGGCTCAAGGACCAGCTTCTTCTGGTCTACGATTACATGCCAAATGGTAGCCTTGAGAAGCATCTCTACACCCACGACGAGAACACTATTGTACTAAGTTGGGCACAGAGGTTTCAGATCATCAAGGGCGTCGCGTCGGGCTTGCTCTACATTCATGAAGAGTGGGAGCAAGTTGTGATCCACCGAGACGTCAAGGCGAGCAATGTTCTCCTCGACGGCGAGATGAATGCCCGGCTCGGTGACTTCGGCCTTGCAAGGTTGCATAGCCATGATACTGAGCTGCTGCATACCACCGTTGTGGCCGGCACCTTTGGTTACATTGCTCCGGAGCTGGCGCTGACAGGTAAGGCGTCCCCTCTCACCGATGTCTTCGCCTTCGGCGCGTTCCTTCTCGAGGTCGTGACTGGAAGAAGACCTGTCGAGGAGACCGTAGATGGAGATGGGCTCTTGCTGGTCGATTGGGTGTTCGAGCATTGGCGCAAGGATCAGTCACTGATTGAGGTAGTGGACCCCAGAATTCAAGGAGATTATGACGTGAATGAGTTGAGCCTGACATTGAGGGTGGGGTTGCTGTGCTCGCATCCATTGGCCAGCGTGAGGCCAAGCATGAGAACAGTGATGCAGTACCTAGCTGGGGACATGCCGCTTCCAGAGCTAACGATGCCGACTCACATGGGCATGAGCATGCTGGCGTTGTTGCAAAGCCAAGGGTTCGACTCATATATCATGGCCACTTCATCGTCATCGTCCATCAGGAGCTCAAGCACTCTACCCTCTCAAAAGGGAGATGACAAGAGTAGTAACGTGCTCGTTCCATGAAACCAAGATTTTCTTAAGATTTTTTTTATTCAGCAAAGGACATACACGTACAGGAACTATAAATACAGATTAGAAGTATAAATTACCTTGCTTCTGTTTTTTTCTCTCCCATCTCTTCGACAAGAAGTTTTGTATTTGCACTGTAGTATTGTACATATATATGTGGGACGTTTTATCCAGAACCGTGCACCGACTCCACTAATTATCAAACGTTTGCTTGATTTAAAGTTAGCAAACCATCAGACTAACGTCCGCTACCTTCTTTTTTTTTTTGAAAAAATTGTTTCTGTAACTTTCCATTTTTATAAAGTTGGGTTCCAAAGGTCATGTAGATAAATTGTCAAGATAAGTTGTCTATATAATTTTGTAAAAAAATATAATGAAAAATTATGATTAGAAAGTTATGGTGATAAGATAGATATGTTCCACAAAATATTGTGCACAAAAGTTGTGAATATAACTTTCTAAAAATGAAAATTTGATGAAACATTTTTTTTCAAAAAAGGAAAGTCACCAGGTTGTCTTTGGTCCTGCTTAGCAGAGCTCTACCTCTATAAAATCTGTGGATTTCCTAGAGTTGGTTATCTGTAGCTCTAGGTAATCTTGGATCTAGAGCTACATGAATTTCAAGTACATTTGCATAATTCATTTCATTTATAGTTAACATTAAATATAAATATATAAACCGCTTTAATTTAGTCTACAAAATACAGATCTAGTCTAGCGAACGTTTGCTAATTTGGATTTGGGCTCCCAGTGCATGGAGCTGTCAATATCCTAGAAGGATTCTTAAGTCATAGGAAAATTGGTAGAATTTATTTATGGCGTAAAGTGGGACTCTCATAGAGGAGTGGAACCGCTAAGGGCACTCCCAATACAGAAGCCACCATAGTTTTTATGAACATTAATTGTACTGTCATCTAAACGTTTTGCTGATGTGGCAAGGTAGTTATTGAAGAGAGAGATAGAGCAAAAATCATAGAAACTGGATCTAAGTTAGAAACCATGTCTATATGAGAAATAAGATATGAAGGGATGTGATCGGTAGAGAATGGAGAGAGAATGTATGCGATTGGATAAAAAATTGTTCTGTACAAACTATTCATTGGGATCATAATTTCTATATGTAGTGCCTATGAAAATTAATAGGTATAGAAACTAAGTGTCAGCATTGGAACTGCCCTAAGGCTCTAATATAATATAAAGGGGAAAGCTAAGGCCATAAGCAGCTTTTATAAGCTGTACCAGGCCCAAAGGAAAATACGCCCATTGATACTGCATCACTATTACGACATCAGGTTCTGATCCACTTTTCAATTGCAGCAACGTAAAGTTTAAATTTTCTGTTTGAACCGTTCACTAACTCGATGCAAAGATAAATAAATAGTATTCTCTCCGTTCCAAATTTTAAGTCATTTTAGCTTTTCTAGATACAGAGTACGTAGCTTTTGCTCTAGATACCTAATAAAATTTATGTATCTAGAAAAGTTAGAATAACTTAAAATATCTGATGACAGTAAGAATACAGCGATACATCACAGCCGTTAAGTCCCTTAACTTCTTGCATCTTCAGTTTCGTCAGACAAACGTTGCTTCTTCAGTTTCATTAGACAAACGTTGCTTCTTCAGTAGTATCTTCAGTCTGACGGTGAGGTCCGGACAGGAGTCCAAGTTACATTTAAAAAAAAAACAGAGTCCAAGTTACAACTTACTACACCAACAAAAGGCAAAAAGTTTTGACTGCCTCCTGATGTGGTTTTAAGCAAATCACAACACCCATGTACGTAGCATGACAATAAATAAAGCAATCTGACTGTGCCCTCTGATTTGGCAATTCAGCAGTTAAGGCCTTGTTTAGATTACAAATTTTTGCAACCTGGATACTGTAGCACGTTTCGTTTGTATTTGACAAATTTTGTCCGATCATGGACTAACTAGGCTCAAAAGATCCGTCTCGTGATTTACAACCAAACTGTGTAATTAGTTATTTTTTTTACCTACATTTAATGCTCCATGCATGCGTCCAAAAATTGATGTGATGGAGAGAGAGTGAAAAAACTTGGAATTTGGAGGTGATCTAAACAAGGCCTAAGTATGTACTCCTACAATACAATCTGGAAAATCGAGATCATGCATTCATATTATCCAAAAGAATCTGCCATGCATTACTCAGCTTGACTTGGAACAGATATACCAAACGCTGACAACATGGGTACCGACAATGCAGCTTCAACAGATTCAATTCCTTATAAAAAAGATTCAAGCAGGCAAAACGAATTCCTTGTTTTTCTCTTGAACTTATCAGCACTACTTTTCAGCGAAAGAACAGTGTTTTTCTCTCACAACCAATCAGCATCAGCAGCCGAACTTCAGCGAGCCGAACAGTCTTTTAGCAGTGATTGTTTTAGAAAAGTATGTCAACCCAGAGGCCCCAAAAAGAACATAGGGAGGCAGCAAAAGCCAAGGACGGGTGAAACGTAAATGCAAGTTATTTGAACAGGAACTCCATGATCTGCAAATCATGCACATATACCGCCTCCTTTCTTGTAACAAAGGTCAGTCTACTTTGTTTCAAAGCAGAGGAAAAAGAAAAGATCACTTATGCAGGTACTTGTAAACATAAACGCACTTGCTGCTTGCTGCATGAGTAATTATCCCACGTATCAACACCATCAGAGAAACACTGTTCAATAACTTGAAATAGTTGAGACAAATTCATCCCTAACAAATAAGTAGAATATATTTTAGTTTGACCCATAACTTCTCATATAGACAAGGTTAAAAGGCTGTCTGAACTCTGTATTTCATTTTACAAGAACAGCAAAAAAGAGTGCAGAAAGTTATATATGTATACATTTTGAATGTTTTCTTTGTTCCAATTATATCATACAGCGATACAGCAGCTCAAACGAGATATGAGGAAACTGGCTAAAACGGAGAACTTACTAATTCAACTGCACTAGTGTTCAGACGTAAGGAAGTCTACAGTGGCCTTAAGCCCATGGATGAAAACATCCACCTCCTCTTTTGTATTGTAAAAAGTGAAGACTTGCACGAGCACTTGCATTGATACCAAGGGTCCTATGCAAAATCTGTGCACAATGATGCCCTGATCGAATTGCTACGCCATGCTGAAACAAAAGGTCACCAAATCAATACTGAACTAACAGTGCTGACAAAGATTCGTTCGCCAGAAGTAAGAAAAAGCATCATATATAAAAAGAAGTTAACCCAAATATCTGTTACTGGTAGCGGTAATTTCAGTGCAAGTCAACAGATAACACACAATCAGAGACATAAAGAACATATAGGGAAAAAAAGAGCTACTGCTTATCATAGATTTTAGTGTGTCTAGAATGTTATACATCCTCAAATTGCAGTAAATGATAGGCAGTGCAGCAGAGAACGAAGAGACTTTACAAAGATCCGCAAGAGGAGTCACCATGATTTTTTTTGAAAAAATCATGTTAATGTATAAACCAAGTTGTTGAAACTTCGACATACCTGGAGATCAAGAATTTCTGCAATGTCTGTAGGATGAACATTCTCAATATTGAAAGAGCATAAAGGAGCACGGTGATCAGTTTGGGAAGGTGCCGGACCATATATTCGGACATTTGGAACAGAGAGAAGGCTTTCATAGAGATATGTCCCCAACTCTTTCTGGACAGCCAAAAAAAGCAGAAGTGAGAGTGCATCACAATAATAGATTCCTTTCGTTTCAAAAAAAAAAAAGATTCCTTACTCTTTCTTAAGTGGTAGAATAAACCAAACTAAAAATGAAGAAAAACACTGCAAAACAAATGATTCAGAAAAGAACGACACAAAGATACAGAAAGGACCTCATATTCATGGATCTGCTCCATGCCAATGCATGATAAATAGTCAATTGCTGCTCCCAATCCTATAGCTTCTCCAATTGAAGGAGTTCCAGCCTCAAATCTTTTCAGACCATACAGTAAGCAAGGGAACAACAAACATAAGAAAACAAGGGGAGACATAAAAAAAATTACAATAATGATGTGTCGCTTGCTAATAATTCTGGTACATGTTACATCCAGTAGTTTTCAAGGTGTGCCAATCAAAATGAGAACACACAAATTCAATACCTGAAGAACATTAGCTCAGATGAAAGCAAAATCAATCTATCCCCGATTAGAAACTTCTGTGCGATGTGATGTTTAGTATTTGGACTGTGTGTCTGATTGAACGCCATCCAAAAAGCTATTAGTCATGGCAATTGTTATAATGACTGTATTATTATGCCCTGTTGTGTAGTGACTTATCATAATAGATACTTAGCCTGTACTTTCTCCAGAAGCTATGATAGCAGCCAGCGGAAGATCTAGAAAGATCAAAGCAAGCAGTTCGTCACCTAGAGGGAGGTTCAGCATATGTGGCAGCAAAATCAGCATTATGAAGCTAAGTTAAGTAAATAGCAAATATAAAACTGAGGCTTAGCAAAGCTGTCTTGCAGCAGTAAATGTTGACTACTGAATTTACCCACTAACAGAAACTGAACAAAACTCCTTCCACCTTGCAGTATCTTATCTTACCTAAGAAAGGCTCCATAGATGACAACATCTCAAATGTGCTGTGCATAAATCCAACGCCTGTAGGGCCACACATCTGAGAAAATTAGCACATAATTTATGATGGTCAAATATCGGGCTATACAAACATTACTAAAAGTTTTATTAGTAACAGATGGTTGATAAGGAAAACCTTATGTGACGATGCTACAAGAAAATCTGCACCAAGCTTCTGAACATCAACTGGCATGTGGGGAACACTTTGACAAGCATCTACAAGAACCTTAGTTCCAACTCTTTTTGACCATGTTACAATGTCCTCGATAGGAAGCATTGAACCTGGAAATCATTAAGGAATGTGGTAGAATAAGACTCAGTAATCGTGCCGTCAAGATCAATTGATAGGAATAGCAAGAAACTAAAGTTGGATACAATCACAGAACATTTGTCAGAAACTTAGCTTCTCTACAACTAAAAAAGACCTACTGATATACAACATAAAAATCATCATATCAGGCTTCATTTCAGCTTAATTGCGTATGAAAGCAACTACAAATAGCATCTATCTAAATCATAGTTCTCTCATTACTACAATATAATGAATGCTTTTTTTTTTGAACTGTAAATTCAGCAAGGGAAGGAAGGAATTGGAAATAGCTTGTCACCCTAATATTTCCTACCCACTCTATATCAGGACCCTTGGATGATTTATTATGTTCAGATCTAATGGTGTACATTATCTTAACTGTGGGTCACACCAAAATCTTACTCTTACACAGGGCGTCTTACGCGTTCCTGCCACTGAAATCACCCAAAGCCTCCCACCGGTTGTCATTGTTTTTCACCCACCTCGTAACATACCCGCCGTTGTACTCAGCGCGGTGTCCGTCCTGAGCAGCCTACTCAAGGGCTCGTTCCAGGGCCTCAGGCCGATACGTTCCGCCTCCAAGCGCATGGGGAACCCGGCGGCCGGACGCACCTGCCGGCACGGACGAGGACGACAGCAGCGCTGTTCCCAATCAACGCCCCCTTTTCCATCTTTCTCGAGCCACCGGCCGCCCCCTTCCTGCGCCCCTGCCCCAGCCATCGGCTCCACGGCTCCACGCGACCGTGCCTCCGCCGGACCGTCGCTGTCCACCCGCTGACCACTGGCTGCCCGCTCGGCGCTCTGCCTCGGCCACATCCCAGGTAAGCCAAATCGATCTTTTTTTTTTCCAAATCGATCTGAGTTTTTCTCCCACGCGATGGCTGAGTAGCATAACCTGACGCTGCTGTCAGCACCCAAGATCTGGTCACCGCCGCCAATGTGCAGGTGTATCTATATCCGGCGCCGGTGCAGCGAAAGCCCTGGATCCATTTGATGCCTAGGAGGCTAGGAGTCCATTAACCGCTGGGTGTGCTGACGTTGTTCCAGACGACCAGACCATGTAAGTATGTAGGATTCTTTGGTGTGCTTGTTTCTTGCATCTGCAAGAATGGTGTAGATTGTTAGGACAACGAGGATTAAGGAAAAAAATATCTCCAATGCCATAGAAGTGGTATAGTAGGCTCCTCATTCTTCAGTTGAACTGATCGTGTCACTATTTGATTTACTTGATATTAATGCAATTGTCATGCGAAGGAGGACTGAGGTTTCTTTAGTTAACATTGCTCATGTGTTTCGACCATCCAATTTCTACAGAATACGTGTTTATGTTATATATATGCTGTTGTATATTTTTTTATTTTGATTTATGAAGTTCACTACTGCTCCGAGAGAATGTGGTCTTCAGTCATTTATTTCTTTGTATTAACTTCGCTAACAAACAATGAGTCATCAGGTCACAAGTGATGTTATTCTGCTTGCTACTTCATGGCTTTTTTCTGCTTTACTTAAGATCATCCTGCCAGACAGTTAAAAAATAATAAGGCAATATGTGGAGGCCATGATATGACTACTTTTATAGATACAAATTTACACAATATGATTATAGATACAAACTGTCACTTCACTTGTCATTTGTTTGTAGATCATGAGGATAAGTAGGAAGCAACAAATGCCGTTTCAAGCAATGTTCCGTTTTTAGTGGAAAGAAAAATTATGGCTAGGTGGCGTCCACCACATGTCAAGCCTCCATTTGTGGATTTGTAGGTATGGTTATTGGGGAGCGCACTGAGAGGCAATTCACTGTTCTGTTTCTTGGTTATTATGCTGTGCTCCTAGGACACATTCCAACGACCCTTTGTAATCAGAACCCAAACTATGGATTCTCTTGTTGAATTAGAAAGTAAGATATGCATTTATCTATGTGCGGTAATCAGTCTTAAGATGTTGCATAGTAGATAAGGTCAAATACTGCACTTACGTACCTCTGCTTTTTTCTTCGTGTCTGGATTTACCAAGCACCTATCTTAAGATCATAATTATTTTTGCATGCTTATTCTTGCACTACTAAACAGTTGTCTTTTTTATTTATTATTTTCTTATACTTATATTATCATGGCATTATGGTTTTATGCACCCACATGACTTTTCTAATATTTCTACATGCTGCTAACCAGAATCAAGTTATAATTGAGATTTTCTTTTTAAAATAAAATCAGACGGCACAAATGAGGGGCAGAGGGATTAGCTCCTATGTTCAAATATTGACACTGATTGTATTGCAGGTTTTGTATGGCCATAATAGTGATCAGCAGCACCCGACACTACAAATGGTTTCTAATCTCTGAATTCAGTAACACTTGCCCTAGAAAGAGCAGGGGAAGAAAAATATACGCTTTTAAACAAGGTATTGGTGTTTCTGACCTGCATTGGTCACAAATTTACTTGAAGGCAACATGAACTCGAAATAAAGATCTGGAATTGGGAGAAATGTTCCTATTATCTAGAATTCTCTATAGTAGTTCATACTTTTCCTGCAATAACTAAAGCTAACCTGTCTGATTTTGTTATCTAGGTTTGTGACTTAAATGAGTTGTCCAGACTCCAGAAAGGATGTTGATGAGATACTAAAAGTATGCATGAGGCAAGATTGCATCTCTCCCAATGATAACATCTGTAAGAAGTAAGCTCCTATTTTGGTCTCAGAGTCATTTGCAATATTTTTTGGTTTTGACGCTGGCTGATTTTGTCTACCTAATCCTTCAATAATATGTTTTGTATCAAGTTTTTAATTTGCTGGAGGTGCATTCCAATCACAGATTTATGTTGCATGGCTGGAAACTGAGACCATCTTATAACCCTTCTACTGCAAATAGCGGAATGTGCCATTACCATTCACCTTATTCATTTTTAGGACGAGTGAGAATGCTTATCAGTTTAACTAAGAGTTCTATAGCTCACTATTCTGTTCCTACATTAGAAAGTCCCATTCCACATTGCATAATAGTTATATGATAGAATCCTCAGCAGTCCTCTTTTTCTTATATAAGTTGGTGTTTTTCACCTTGCAAAGGAAGGGCCATGCTATTTTCTTTTATGAAAAATAATGCCTGCTAACTTATGTTTTTGCCCCTCATGCAGCTTGGCATTCATACTGTCCCAGTGCTTCTGCAAAAGGAGACTAGAGCATTTGAAAGAGGTAAAGGTCATATATGTACTATATTAGTATATATATGGCTTTAGGAGGCTGCCATGGCGTTCTCAATCTGCTTTCATTCTCTAGGCACCCAGAAATTAGGTGTGTAATGCTGGGATATGATGCTACACTATCAACAATAAATTGAATTATCTGCATTTGACTCAATAACTAAACATAGATTTAAAAGGAGCAAAGATGCTTTCACATAGATTATGATGATTAATTTGGTCTGGAGAATTAAAACCTTCTTTTTTATTGAACCTGCAGAACAAACTTGACAGCAAGTGGTTGAAGTGGAAAAGCACGGGCAGTGGATACTCCATTGATCTCTTGTGTGATTTTGGTGTTTGTGTGGATCTTGGCTTGTGAAATATAAGAGTCAATTTGATGGGCTGAACTGCAATTTGTTGGGCTCATGAGGTTTGGACTGCAAAGCATCGATTGATTCCTGAGCTCTGGCGGAATTTTCCTGGAGAACCCGTTTGCGGCGAGGTCGAGCCGCCAGCTGCGCGATGCGGACGGGAGGTCCAGCCCGACCCTTTGTTTATAATCAGGGCCTAGATTTGCTATGGATTCTCTTCCTGAATTAGATAAGAGGATGTGCATTTATCTATGCATGGTGATCAATGTGAGAATGTTGCATACTAGATAGGTTCAAATACTGCACTTCTCTTCCTGTCTGGATTTAGCAAGCACTATTTTCTGTGTATAGTCCACAATTATTTTTTAGTGGGCTAATTGTGAAAGCTCATTCTCGCACATAATATTAAGTAGGTGTCTTTATGATTTATTATTTTTCTCATTTTCTTTGCCTTTCTTCCCTGACTATGTCACTTGAGAAATTATCTGCCTTTATGCCAAGCAAAGTTGTCTGCCTTTGCCGTGCTGCATATTGAACAAATCGAACACCAGCCTTAAGGTGCTTCAACATCGAAGATCATTATTACGATTTGAAAAGGTGGTCTCTGGTTTCAAATTTGTAGATATAATTACAATATCGATTGGATGACTTCATCAGAGACGTCCATGGCCCTGTTCGCTTCGCTGAAAAGCCATGGCTGAAAGTAATGTTCGCTGATTTGTTGTTAAAGAAAAACACTGTTCCTTCGCTGAAACAGTACGGCTCATAAGACAAGCGAACAGAGCCCATTTTGAAAGAGTTTTGTGAATTAATCTTATTTGTTATTGTTTACCTTCGAACTTGAAGAGTTCATTGAAAAGCATCCAGCAACATATGATACATGAACCCTTATATCTTGATTTTTGCACATACTAGCATAAGATGATAACTGCAGACAAGCTAGAGAATGGTCATTAAAAAACAAACGCTTTGTAGACACGTGCGTGTCGCACGTGCATGTTCACTAGTATTAAGAAAAAGAACCACTAAACAAGCAATTGTACAGCGAACAGAAGAGGGAGAAGACAAGAAAAAGAAAACTGTACAACAACCAAGCAAGAGAAAGAGCAGGAGCTTAAGCAAAGAGGCTCAGCGGGAAAGCTGTTATTTTTTAAGTCACCAACTCTATGTGCCTGAAGCCTAGCTTTCTCGGAGAAGTGCTGTCTCTATGAATCAAAAGAGGGGCAACCACGATCAAAGACAAAGTTGTTTCTTAGTTTCCAGGTTTGCTAGGCGCCAATGATGAAGAATTCCATGAAGAAAGAACTCGAGAAATGTTGCTTGCCTTGAACTATCATTTGGAAGAAACTCGCAGCAAGATTCCAATGGATGCCAATGTGTTGCCGACATGCTTGACTGAAGGGACAACTGAAGAAAAGATGGAAAGCCGTCTCTTCAACATTGCAGCTACAGAGTTACAGAGCACACAATTGTAATTGTTCCCTTCCATTAGAAGCAATCAACTGAAAACTATGAGCATGTTACAACACTTGGAATTCCAAATCCAGGTGAAAGGGGTAGGAGGTTGGACATTCTTGTAGGGAAGATTGTAGAACCTAGAAGATGTATATGCATTGTTTCCCCAAATGTACTGCCAAGAATCTTTGCAATCCGAATGTACTTGAATTGTTTGAATGTACTCTTGGAGGTTTTGATATTCCTGAAGAGCTTGTACAGAGAGAGGCAAATAAAACTGAGCTTTCAAAGTGTTGTTCGTCAAGAACTGAGCAACTGAAGTGTTTTTGTTCTTTGTGAATGAATATAGTCTTGGGTACTTGTGTTGCATCATATCATCATTCCAGAGGTTAGACCAACAAAGTACTGTGGATCCATCTCCAATTTTGCAGGTAGCAATTCCCCTGAATAGATCACAGAGCTTCAGAACATCTCTCCACCAAAAGGAGCCCTTATCAGTTACAGCATGAGGGATTTGTCCATTTGAATAGTGGGCATTCCATGAGTCGTTTGACCCAAGGGATTTCTTTCTTGTTGTAAAACTTGTCCAAGTGTTTGAGAATGAGGGTATTATTTTGACTTCTAAGGTTTATTATTCCAAGGCCTTCTTTCCTTTTTGGTTTGGAACATTTCTTCCAGGCTACGGAAGGCTTCATTTTGTCATCACAGTTTGAGCCTCTCCAGAGACAATGTCTTCTTGCTCTATCAATATAATCTAGTACAGTCACAGGGATTTGGAGCATACACATTGCAGAAGTGGGCAGGGAGGAAAGAACTGAGTTTACCAGCTGCAATCTTCCAGCATGAGTCAGCAGGTTGGAGGTGGCAGTGAGCTTTCTTTCAGTTTTGTTCATTAAGAAACCAAAGTGCTCGACTCTTGGCGGGTGGTGCCTAGGGGCAAACCCAGATAAGTGAAAGGCAAGGGTTCAAGCTTGCAACCAAAGACACGAGCCAGGAGCTGGGTCTTATCATCAGAGAGGTTTAAAGGGGCAAAACAAGACTTCTTGTAATTGACCCTCAAACCAGTTGATTGTGAGGATTCAAGTAGGACTTTCAAGGTAAAGAGTTCGTGTTGAGAGGCTTTCATGATCAAGAGTGTGTCATTTGCATACTGGACAATGGGGAATGAGCTAAATCATATGAGGGAACGGGGAGCTCAAAAAGGCCATCTTGGAACCCTTCGTTGACGATGCATTGCAGGAGATCAGCCGCCAGGACAAATAACAGGGGAGACAAAGGGTCACCTTGTTTGACATCGCGCTTGCAGTGAAAGTGACTACCAGGAACACCATTCAACAGAATAGAAGAGGACCTAGAGGCAAGGACTCTATGGGTCCAATCAATCCATTTGTCAGTGGGATCTGACAGTATAAAAAGAACAGAGTGCTCAATCCAAAAAATTTCAAATCTGAAAATTTTGGCTTTAGGAATGGACCAATTTGAATTTTGCAGGGGATGTGTTCTGAGGTTGGCCTGGCCATTGGAAGGAGAAGAGTATTTGGGTAGACACTGATCTAGTTTACTGAAGTGAAAACCCAATCTATTTGCTCTAGGAGTGGTTCACTTTGGTTGTGTTTGGTTTGAGGAATGACGTGAACCATCTTCTTCTCACTCCTCACTTTTTTATTTGGTTTGTGGAATGGCATGAGTTGATCTATCACCACCTCATTCCCCACAAGCTAATAATTAGTATATGCATGAGGAAGGGGTTGATTCCACTAAAATTGATGGGATGAACTCATGATGCATGACCTCATGAAACATGGGGTGACTCCACAAACCAAACACACCCTTTGCATGTTACTCCAAAAAAATTTCCTTTCTTTGAGTGGGATCTCTAACAAGCCCAAATTGCTGATTATTTCATTAAAGATCATGATGTCATTCATGTTACCACCACTTTTATTTCTATCAGAGAGTGATCTGTAGAAGTTGAAGTCTCCCACTAACATCCAATTTTCCTTTCAAATAAAAAATGACTTACCAAGTACATTTGAGACATGATGGACAACAACTATCTTTGTCTTGTTTGAAAGAAGAGCTTTTAACTGTTCAATGTCCGGAACCTCTTCTTTAGTCAGCCCAACATATTTTAAAGTGGCACCAGTCTTCTGGGAAACAAATTGCCATGGAACAATGGCACTATGATGCTCCGCAGCTGTAAGAACAATCTGGCCACCAAAATAGGAGAGAAAGATTCTTACCAAGAAGTAAAAGAAAGATTGCATGTTCCCCAAGAACATAAACCAGATCATATAGCTTGATACAATTTTTATTCAACAAACTGACATTTATCTCTAGCATTCATTAGATGGGCATACTAACAGACTGCAAAGGAATTATAAAATATTTTATTTTTCATAGATGCCTGTGAAAAGCCAAAACACTGATAAAAGCACTATTTTCATTTTTCAGTTACATAAATTTTCTAGGAAGCTATGAACATAAGCAGCAGGTACAGTGAACTAGTAAAACATAATGTATCGGCGGCAACAAATACATGAGTCACCTCATCTCCTTGTTTTATGTTAGATAGGCCCCATGAATATGCTACCAAATTGATAGCTTCTGTAGCATTACGAGTGAAAACTATCTCTCTGCTATCAGCTACATTGACGAAACTTGCAACTTTTCTTCTGGCACCTTCATATGCATCGGTAGCCTTTGCACTGATGCCAAATGAAGTAAGCAAGTCAGTTAAGGTACATCTAGTGTACAAATACATTGGTAGATGCACAAACACCAAAAACTCAAACAAAAGATGAATGCAGGCACATTGACCAAATGATAATATGAACAGACAGATTACTGACAGTGCATTCGTTGAATTATTTTGCACATATGAAAAAGTTAAGATCATCAAATTTAAGGTTATCACATGATTTTATAGATATAGAATCGACAATCGGTATAGGAAGAATGCACATAGGAGAGCTTAACAGAATGAAATAAAAACAACAGAGCAAGTCCTGCACAGCATATATCCTGGGTTTTAACATTAGTGACGCTGGTAACGGTGAATGCACATTTCAAGATAGTATTCAGTGTTCAAAAAGGCGACGCCTTAGGCGCGCCTAGGCGCGACTAGTCGCTAGTCGATGGGTTCCCGCCTAGCCTATGGGGGTAGGCGGACATCCAGGCGCAAGGAGGTAGGTCGCCGGTGGGGGAGGTCGCAGCGGGAGGTCGCCGGTGGGGGCGGAGGAGCTGAGAGCGGCGGCGGCGCTGCGTCGTCTTGGGCGGCAGACAGCAGGGGGGGGTCCTACCTGGCCTAGGGGTGGCGGACCCTTAGGCGGCGCCACTGCGTCGGGCGGCGCCCGGTGGGGAGGAGGAGCTCATGGAGGTCGCCCGGTAGAGGAGGAGGAGCTGCTGGCGGGCGGGGCGGGGGCGGAGGCGGCGTCTTGGGCGAAGCGGGCACGCAGCTAGAGGAGAGAGAGATGCCGGAGAGGAGAGGAATCGGAGGCGGGCGGATGCAGGCTACCTAACAGGAGGAAGCGGCGGCGAGCAGAGGATGCGGGAGACCCAACAGAAGGATAAGGTTGGAGACCTGGAGTGGGAGATGGGCTGGACTGTTGCCATTTGGGCCTTTCTATCTCTCTAAGCCAGCTTTTCAATCTATCTAAACCCACTATTTCAGCTGTTTATTTTTTCTTTTAGAAGATAATATATGTATATTAGTATATATACAAAATGCCTAGAAAAACGCCTTAAAACGCCTAGGCTCGCTTAAGCTCGCCTAGGCTCTAGGCTATGGGTCATCGCCTAGAAGTCGCCTAGCGCCTAGCTGAACTTTGATAGTATTAACATGAATTTTAAAGTTTTGTTACATGCATCGAGAAATTGCATACATATGTATTGTTACCTGAGTGCATGAATACCACGATGCACATTTGAATTGTACAATCGGTAGTACTCATCTAATGTTTTCATTACACTAAAAAGCTTCTGTGATGGCACCATTGTCAAAGTAAACTAATTTGGCACCATCAAATTCCTGCAAGTTTCAATGGTAATAAATGAAATCACAGTCTACCAACTAACATAAGCTAGTATTAAACAGACTTAAGGCTATTATTTGCAATATAGAATCACAGGTAACAGAAAACCACTGTTGCAGTTCATCAGCCGCATTGATTGAAATAACTGTAAAAGAGAAGCAATTAAAAATGGACCTAACTTGTGATTTATGGAATAAAATGTGATAAATAAGAAAACCATAACCAGGCTCACAAATGGGACCAATCTGATGGAAATCCACACGGCAACATTGATACATGCACCAGACAAACAACGGGCTACAAAAACTCACACCCAGTGTCATAAGGTTCCATGTATGACAGGGCCAAGGAAAAGGTATGAGGGATGTGGATTGACACCTTCTATAAGTCCCTGGTACGAGGGGAGGAGGTATACCTCTTCGGGATGATGGTTTCAAACTTGGCACATGAACCAACTATTTTCAGGGCGATGGCTTGGGAAGATCTGTTCAGTATGAGGTTTGCGATCACACATTATAGGGTTTAATAAAAAGCAGAGATAAGAAAAATAAAAGAAGGAATAAAGAAAGATCAATTCTATTAGGATGTCATTTTCAGGCCCACTCAGCCTAACATGACTTTCCCTAACCCTTCTAAGTCCCCATGCAGGCACAACACACACAACTAGCACCCACCACCGCCTCTCATTCCTCTCATTACTTTCTCTGTCCTTGCCATCACGGAGGTGCCACTGCTGCATGGAAGTCCTTGCCATAGGACACCTGGGACTAGAGAATCGGTCACCCTCGTCCTTCTGTTCTCTCTGGTGCTCTCAATTTCCTTGGAGATCAGATGCGCTACCCCAGCTGCTTGAGACAAGAAGGCTCTGGTCCTCAACTCCTCATCGTCTCCAACGCTTCTCCCCTGTTTCCATTCGACGCAGCTCCGGCATGTCTGATACCTCTTGATGTCCCAGCGGCTAACAGGACGATGTCCCATATCAAACCCATTCCCTGGGACACGGAATACTGCATCATACCACGATCCCAGTGACTATGCTCACACCTTGGTAAGCAAATTGAATGGTTTTATGCATTAGCAAATTGGAAAAATATTACAATCAAGATAGCTAAGTGCATTCATTAAGATCTTAGCAGTTGGTACAACTGAACCACAATTGAGTTAGCTCAATTTAGCTGGATAACAGCAACAGCAGTATCTGCATGTCCATAGGACATCAATGATCAGGCAAGCAGCAGCCAAACCAACTACAGACTAGTGGAAAGACTACAAATTTTAAGGCATAAATAAAGACGAGTTCTTATTTACTACTCCATCCATTCCAAATTATAGCTCAATTTTGGCTTTTGTCCTAAGTCAAACTTCTCCCATTATGACCAAGTTTTTGGTCAAATGCATTAACATCTAAACAAATGCAATATTAAAACATATTTCATGGAGCCTTTAATAAAACTAATATGATGTTTTAGGTCTTGGTGCATTTTTCTATAAATTTGGTCAAAGTTTAAAAAATGACCTAGGACAAAGCTAATGTGAACTATAATTTGAAACTTATGAAGTAGCAAATTAGCAAAATTTACTTGGCCAGCAACTAAAGAATTTTGATGAGATTTCATCTGGAACAGAGCCTGAATCTAACCCAGAAATGTTCCTTGACACCCATGAGTAATTGACCTTGTGGCTGTCTCATTGGGTGCTGGACTCTAGCAGCTGTCATGCCTACCGCCTGGCTAGGTGAAATGGCAGCCCAGCTTTTATCCTGCTTTGTGTCTTACTCTTGCATATGCATGTGCCCTCTTCTATTGTAGCGTTGATCATACGGTGTTGCGAGGGAACATCCAATGAAACATTTTCTATTACACTACACACCTGTTAAAAAAAATGTGTGTCTCTGCTTGTATAATTTCTCAGCCTCTATACATGTGCCTGTGCTTGTATAGTAGGTGATCCCAGGCACACAGCTTGCTCATGTATGTGTTTGTACAACGTGGCTTCATCCACATGACTTTGTCAATGGGCTATTCCTACTTTTTGCTGTTTACTCAATCTCATTATTTGTTATATCCTAAATGCCAAATCAAAACACCATGAACCCCTGCACCTATCTGCGCACAAACATTATTTATCAATGAATATTAAATTGCTTGTTATGAATATTAATTTTATATGTGTTTATCAGTAACATTTCATGTGCATATGTTACTACTATACTCCATCTGTCCCTGAATAAATAGATTCCTAGAGTTGTCTTAAGTCAAACTTTTTAAACTTTGACCGAATTTGTAGGAAAAAAACATCAAGATTTATGATATCAAACTAGTATCATTAGATGCAACATATAATATATTTTCATAATATGCTCATTTTATGTCATAGATGTTGTTACTCTTTTCTATAAAGTTAGCCAAACTTTAAAAAGTTTGACCAGCACGGATTCTAGGAATTGATTTATTTGGGGGACAGAGGGAGTATTATAATGTCTATTTTTAGGGCCCGTTCAGTTGGGGCCATTCCTGGCCGGAACGTATCCCGGTGATGCATGGCCGTATAAAATTCAATAGTATTCCTGGCCGGATAGGTTCCAGGCCTTGAATACCTGAAAACCGAATGTGCCCTAACCAAGACCTATGACACTGATTCACAAAAGGAAACAAAAACTGCAATACACTGTAGTAGCCAGAAATGCAAGCTCCTTAGTTTATAGCAATAGCATGCAAGTCGTAAGCATGGTTGCATTTTCACCCACCAAAAAAAACTAACGGCCTGTAAGCAGTTAGAAGTTCGGAAATGGTATGCAACTGTTACATAGAGTCTGAGGTTGTCTTAACAGATGGTCGCGAAAAAAGGTTGTCTTAACAGTATCCTAAGAATCAGCCGGATGAAACGGAGATGGAGGGAGGAGTGACCTGGTGGAGGATGGGGAAGTCGACGCGCGTACGGTCCCCTAGCGAAGCGGCTGGCTCCGCCTCCCACGACGGCGCCGCTACGGCCGCTGCGCTTCGGCCCCGCCTTGAGGAAGAGGACCTGACGAAGCCACTACCGATTGCAGAGCCGGGGAAGCAGCAGCGGAGCGCGGCTGCAGCCGCCATGCGCGCCGTGGCTGGGCTTTGGGAGCGGAGGGGGAGCCAGTGGCGTCGGCGTGCGGTCGCCGGTATTTGGGGCCGCCGCGCCAGGGCCAGGCTATGGCTTCCGCGGAGGGGTGTGCAACGGATAGATGGGCCAAGCGCGTCGAATATTCCAGGCCCAGCTAACATTTCCCTGGTGGCCCTTTGCAGATTATAAAATATTTGATTTTTTAATATATTGTTTTTATTACACATTTAAACATAGTGTGCATCTAAGTATATAGCAAATGTTTGTATGTAGAAAAAAAACAAAACATCTTATAATTCAAAAATAGAGATAGTACTCTTTGTTGGTTTTGGCTCAACTGAGAACATGTGCAACTGTGCTAGTAGGGCATCTACTAAGGTGTTCACAACGGTGCTATAGAGTTCGACGACTGATATGGGCCTATCAGATGTGGGAACACATGTCAGAATTAATTAATGAATTCACATTTATCTCCTGTACTCAATCGATTTGTAGGCAGAGTAAAAACAGCATGGGCCCATCACATAGTCGCTTTCACCTACTCCACGCTAGCGCCAAAGAGATTGCTATCTTTTTTTTTTCTCTCATTCTCTCCCATTCACATCAGTCTAAACCTACTAGTGAGCCTACTCAGCTAGCAACGTCGACACCCTTCGAGGACACCCTAACTGGGAGAACTAAAAGAGGGGCTCCGATTGGTCGGAGAACCACCCACCTTGCGACACAATGCAAGCACTGCATGCCCATGCCTAGGCCCACAAGTGATAGGTTTTCTCTTTGACGCCTTGTTTAATTTCACCTCAACTTCTAAAAAGTTGCTACAGTACCTGTCACATCGAATGTTTGCGGCCCGTGCATGGAGCATTAAATGTAGACGAAAAGAAAAACTAATCGCACAGTTTGGTGGGAAATTGCGAGATGAACGTTTTGAGCCTAATTAGTCCATGTTTGAATACTATTTGTCAAATAAAAACGAAGGTGCTGCAGTAGCCCCAAAATCCAAATTTCACGAACTAAACAAGGGCTGAACTCTAAAACTAGACATTTTACACCCAAAACTTTTAAAGTTATTTAAATTATCTTTCTTTCATGCTTTGACTAGTTTTGGAGATGGTTTAACCTTTTAAAAAAAATAGCAAATATTTGATAAAAAGTTTTGAAACCATAGAAAAATGTCTCTAAGCTTCTAAGTTCCAATAAAAATTTTACAAATAGACAAGAAAACAAACATATTTGCATATCTTAGAAGCTTCCAGAAAGTAGATTTAGCTCCAGAAAATTGGAAAATATCTAAAATAATCTAGTAATTTCCCCAAAATTATCAAAAGCTAAATATGTTTTGAAAACTTTTCAGAACAAAAACACATAAGACACAACCAGTATGACTACTTAGAATGAATACACTTACCATTAATGTATGTTGTATTCAAACGGGTTGTTTCTTATATTCTTGTTGTGAAAAGTTTTTAAAAACTTGTTTAGACATCTATTATAATGTTTTGGGAGTTTTCTGGACTTTTTGAGATTTTTTTCTTGTTTTTTAGTGCTAACTATATTTTTTAAAAACTTTTAGAGATATTTTCATGATCTCTAAATATTTTATTTTAGTTTTTCATGTCCCCATCTATCTTTATAATTTTTCTCTGATTTTTTAGAAACTTGGAGGTACTTTTCATGGCCTAAAATGTTATCAAGTATTTATCAATTTTTCATTATGTATGACTATAAAAAGGACAAAATTGCCTTCAAAACCGCTTTGATCTATGAGTAAGATGTCTAGTTTTAGGGTTCAAGTAAAATAAGACCACTTCGATAGTTTAGAGAGATAAAATCATTTTTTCTTAGTTTTTCCACTTTTATGTTAAGGGCCATGCATCTATCGGGCCGGTGATCCTCCACGTGCCATTGTTGCTTTGCATTTTGTCAGTCACGTATGTGGTTTTAACTTCTATTGTCAAATCTGGCCGCAACGCTGAACTATGGATGTTGGATCTAGTGGTAAAGTTAGAGAAAATTAGAGGAGGATGTTATTGCCTTATAGATATATAGATAGGTATATTGAGATGTGCCATAACAGATATGTATGTGGTGAAAATTTAGATAATCATTATTTTAATATTTTTTAAGATAAGAGACGCATGTGCACCCCTAATTTCAGCGAATCTTAGCCCCGTTGGATCCCAGCGTGAGCCGTGAGCGTGTCACAACTCTACATGCTAGTGGAGTGATCACGTTTGAGCGATCCATGTACCTCGCAAGATGCTACTCCTTCCGTAGTTCCGTTATAAAAAAGAAAAGAAAATCTCACTTTTTAAAAAGTCAAACAATTCTAATTTTAACTAAATATATATGAAAATACTAGTACTATTTATTATGTGTATTTAGTTCACTAACTGCGATCATGTGATGCATGTGACATAGTCTGGTTATAGGGGTAAATGTTTCTGGTGGTACCAGTACAATTAAAGCTAACAAAATATTTAAAAATATTGATGATCCGCCGATTGAGGATAAGTCTGTGAATTCAGATTGTAGTTTGAAATACAAGATGTAGGGCTGGATATCAAGCCAGCTCAGCTCGTTATAGCTCGGCTTGTCCAAGCTAGCTAGGCTCGGCTCGTTATACTAACGAGCCAGAAGCTTAGCTCGGCTCGGCTCTCTTAGCAGCTCGAGCTGGCTCGTTTGGCTCGCAAGCTAACTTAAATTTTTTTTTTCCTATTAAGGTTATTCATACAACAAAAGACAGATGGTACTTATTTAGGAAAAACAAAATAAATAAGAAGACGGATGATTTGATGCTGGTTTGAGAAAATCAAGAAAAAAACAAAAGCTAATGCTTATTACTGTGCGTTGGCTTGCAAGGGAGTAAGCAAAGCTGCGATTGCAAGGCCCTAGCGAGCAGCAGGCGCCAAGCGACTTACGCATGTGCCGCGTGCTGCGGTTCAGGAGGGGAACAGCCGAGCGTGCATGGGTTTGCAGCTAGGCTTGCGCGGAACGGTGGATTGAGGAAGTCTATGACCTAGGGGTGAGAGCGTGGAAGTTGGGGGCTAGGGTTTTATCATATTGGACTAATGGGCCATGGTATATATGGGCTGATTCAAGTTGCCGTCATCTAATTTACCTTAGTTCGTTTTAGCTTGCGAGCTGGCTTGTTAATTAATTGAGCTAAAGTGCTGGCTCAACTTGTTTAAAAATTCAAACGAGCCGAGTTCGAGCCGAGCCACTAACGAGCGAGCTAGCGAGTTACAAGTTTTTCGTCCAAGCCTATGTATGAGTCAACTTGTAATTAGTATGTTATAATACTCAAATCACTATGTTGGTTAAATACTTAAATCTGGTTCCAACTTCCAATGGCATGCTTAGGCGCAATAACTTGACATATGATGCATGTTCTTGCGATAAATATCTTTCTAGATTTATATTTGACCCAACTAAGCAGAGTGAGTTAGCAACACAATATAAGGTTTATCTATGTTTTAACAACATATTTTCTATAGCATAGGTGCCTAAATTTCAATAGCTTCTCTAGCGACATGGTTCGAGTTGGGGGTTGTTATTGGAGAGGAATCATGCCTCCCAGCCTAGAAAAGGGCTTGGGGAAGCAGGTAGCACAGGCGGAGGAGACATGTGTGGAGGCATAGCAGTGTGGTCATTGACTCTGTTCGGCAGAATTTATTGCTGCTGCGACTGATTTGTAGGGCTAATTTGTTATGAGAGAAAAATACTGTTCCCATGGCTACAAAGTAGAGCTGATTCTGGCCGATAAACTCAAACGACCATTGTTGACTGCCGAATTAAGGTGGAGTATGGTAGGTGGATGATGGCGGTTTGACCAGAGAGGTACGAGTGTCGCACGAGGATGGTTCGGTGGCACCAGGTTAGCATGGTGGGGTCAGTAGGGGGTGGACACGGTGTTGACAAGCCACTGTGTACAGTGCAGGCTAGCGAGAGGCAAGGATGCGTGCCTATGAAGATGATACAAGGTTGATGATGTCACGGTAGTTAAGACAATCTAGATCCAACAGCTCCAGATGGATACTTGAGAGAACTAGAAAAAAAAAGAGTATTAAGAGCTTGTTTGTTATAGCTCTACTATGATTTTTAGCCCCTAACTCCTTGATTTTTTTGGAGTTATTCTAGTCGACTCCGGTGGTGGTGCTGAGCAGAGAGTAGGTGAGAATTGATTTTAAGGTGATTCTGGTGAGGATTGAATGAGTGTTGACGGTTGTTAATGTCAAACATAAACCGTCAATATAATCTGCATATATGCTAAATTCCATCACTAAACATAGGTCTAGGGGTTAAACTAATAAATTCCACAAGTTTTGTGAATATGTGAATGCAGGAGGATTTATCTAGAAAACCATCCCTAGAACCACCGTCATACTCTTCAGACAAGCAAACCGACATCAACAAGAGATTTGATTCGCGAAACCTGTGGAAAACAACTCAAGACGGGGTCTAGAAGCTTCCACCGAGAGTGGGGCCCACCTATCACTGGGACAGTGGCCAGCCCCACCTGTAGGCTGGCCGGCCTATGGGGTCCACATGTCATCCTCTCCTTTCTACGTCGGTTTCCCATCGCCTTTGAGAGTCCATCTCAGCCGTTGCTCAAGGTCGGTTCATCCAACGGTGATTGAGGGAGTTGACGCAGATCGATGACGTGGCAATATCTTTCCCCTTACTCCATCTCCTCTATATATAGCAGCCCCTACCCCCCTCCCTAGAGCCATCCCTGAAACCCTAATTCATATCCTCCTTATCAGGATCAAAAGCCAGCTCTCAAGATGTAGAAGTAGAATAGCTCTAGTTGAGAGTTTGGGAGAGTTGAGCCATGTTCAGGTTCTGGAAAAATCTTCGGAGGTCGGGTATATCTTTGTATCTTATCTTTGCAAGACTTATGCTTTAATATAGTTATCTTATCTATCTACTTTTATGTCTTTCATATATATGGTTAGTATAGTTATTATACCTTAGCATGGGATCTATGCTCGCA